TTCCACCCTTCACTGTCATCCGCAAGTGGCTTCTAGGGCCTCGCTTTCCATCACATACCAACACCACAACCAACGGAAGCTAAAACAGACAACCTCGCCACGGCCTCAGACGCCATTGCAACTATATTCTCTGCCGCGGCCCCATTGTTCGGTGGGATTGCGATAGACAAATTCATTGAGGGCTTGTCTTGCCCAGAAATCGCAAATTCCAATGTCCGATTGTATAGTGTAACAAGTCCAGTGAAAAGCTTGACAGCATACTCAGCTATCTCATCTGATTCACAGTGTGCAAAGGCGTAACCTGTTGGCTTTGCAGTTTACTTATCACGAGGAATATACAATTCTACCACCCGCCCATCTTGAATCAAAATATCATACAATATCCTCTTGCTCACTCTCTCATCCAAATTGTTGACGTAAACAGAGTACTTTGGATTTCTGCCATTAGTTGGAAAAAAAAATCTTTCTGGTTGTTCTAGAGACTTCTATTTGCAGATTTTCCTGTGCTCTATTCTATATTTATACCGTTTACTTTTCCTAACTGGAATGGTCCATGGATCTATAAGCGTGGTGCACCAGAAGGTCTGTGTTCAGCATCAACTTTAAGGCTAATCAACACCTTGATAGGAAATCGGTTGTATTTGGGAAACTTGTGGATGGCTATGAAGTGTTGAAAAATAAAAAAAAATTAAAGGTGCAGGTGATGATTATGGTAGACCGGCTGTGACTGTAAAGACTGTCAATTCTAGTGAATTACATGATGTCAAAAAGAAAACTTAACCAGATGAGCAGCACAAGGCCGCTCACCGGAGAACAAAAACTTGCAAATTTAACTCAAAATGTAATTTAACTTGTCTCTGATACTATATCAAATATACTCAGTAAGAATTGATACCCCTCATTGTGAGATGTTCTCTCATTATATAAAATCAAAATCACAACTAAACATGGTAGCTATCAATTACAATATTCATTAATGGTAACCTATTAAATATGAAGATTGATGCTTTATATTCTTTCCTTATATTCCATTAACATCAAGGTGCATTTTTATTTTTTAGGCTCGCAAAAGCAAGAAGAGAAAAACTGGCTGGAAACACTCAAACGCAAAACAGGGATAAGGGAATAACTTTTGGTTGGTTTGAAGATATAATAGCGATGTAATCAATGGATGATTATTGAATGGGACGAAGTTTCAGTTTTTACTAATTGAAAAGGCATTGTACAGACTTGCACAGGCAAATGTTCTAAGTTGGGTAGGAATGGGCATAGGAAAATGTACTGATGTTCCAAAACGGCTACTGCTCCCAGGTTGAGGCGACGGATTCCACCAGTTGTCTAAGACTTGATCATTAGTATATCAATCAGTGAGGTAACAAGATGAGTCACGTTGAAGGACAACAAACAAAGGACTTAGCAAGAACATGGACAACTTGTACATATGATTGCACCGATGTAAGGTCCAACAAAACACAAAATGAACCAAGTAGGCTACTAAACAATGCTCCTAGGTCATTTTTCATTAGAACTAGATCTGTTATATAGGTTATTTTCAAATGTTTCTAATGTCTTAACATTTTGACATTGGATTATACTTTCACTGCACCTTCCATTTCCTTTTCCTTCTCCCGTTTCCATTATTGAGATGGTAACTTATATTCCAATTAGGAACATCTGGAAACATTCCAACCTATCATTTCATAGCACTAATAACTAGCACAAAATCATTTTTCAAATACACTACAGAACAGGAAAAAAAAAAAAAAAAAACAAAAACCCAACAAAAAAAAAAAAAAAAAAATAAATTTATTTAAAAAAAA